ATGTACATAATATATTATAATTTGAAACCAATAAAAATATAAACTGTAATATTATTATAGAATTAGATAATAATACAATTTGAATATACACAATATAATACTTTGTAATAATATTTGGCGAATGTATGTAATATTTGTGTGTAATCGCCATAACGGAAGGAATCTACATGATGTTTAAGCATAACGAATGTTCGTTTTGCTATAGTGTTTGATAATAATAACACCACGGATGTATACATTATAATAGTGTTGTAACATAATAAAATACAAAATATAATAATGTTTTATCATAAGAAAATGAGGTACATAATAATATAATGGTGTTCAAACATGACATCACAGGGAATGTATATATTATCTTGGCGCTTGGTCGTAGTAGTGTACCACATAATATAATAGTGTTTGAACATGAAAAAGTAATGCATCTGCTGCATTATATTATCATGAACATGAGACCTCCGTGGCTTGCCATATGAACATGTACTATGTCACAGTCAGCCACAGAAAAGAGTTTGCATATAGAATCGTTCATACATGTAATCAAAATTATACAATTCACATACTGCCAGCACTGACGCAACGAGAGAAGCTTTCTACATAATAGTAGTGAGGTCACAAGGTAAAACTGTGTGAATATATTATAACGACAGGACAATTTCGTTGACTCAGACGTTGACTCAATATGGTATTACAAAGAAGGATTTATGGCAGCTAGAAAATAGACCATTTTCCGTTCACTGCGAGAATCACGCGTTATGCGTGAAATCGAACGTAAAAACAGGACAAACAAAGGTCATAGCGTCGTAGTGGCGTCAAACATCGCGTGGGATTCGACAAACGCGAAAGTATTTTGGGGGACATTTCCATGCTTAATAATGTGCTGTCCACATTTGATGATAGGCAATTTCGATTAAATAAGGGTATTCGGAAGCAATATTCCTCTGTCGAAGATCGGCCGGTCGATGTGAGCTACGAAATAAAGAAATTCGAGTTCAAAATCAAATCGTTCGATTTTTGCGGCAGACGTTCGACGCGCGTCTTTCATGCATCTCGCGAGATCTCGCAATTGTACGGAAAATCATCTATTGTTATTACGATTTACAGCTTATTAGTGAGATAAATAAATAAACTGTGGTTTCCTAGCAACAACTCCTGATCATGTATTGTAATTATAATTAATATATATATTATTTTATATTTGTATTATTATAATTACAATTTTAGAGGAGCTCGAACCAAAACGAACTCGGTCACACTTTTTATAAGACAAATGAAATATATTTTCAAATAGGCTATATTATTGAGAGTTTAGTATTTGATTCATTCTTCAAGAATGAGGTCTTTTATCTTTTATGACAAACACATTTTTGTGTATTCACGTTGTTTTTGCAAATAATTCTGATTAGCTCCACTTTTGTTTCGCCGATTGCAATTATGTCGTAGAGCAATTGTTTGTTCAAAATATGTGTTTTCCAGTGATGTCTTCGATAAGCTACTCGGCGTTATGTGTATCTGAATAACCGTGTTTTAGTTCAAAATTCGTTTTCGTGTGACCTCTTTCTTTATAAAATAATTACTACCCATACGTAGCTCGCTTTCATTATGTCGACGTCATGCCACGTATTTAAGTACGTGCTGTCTTTAAAATACTTGTTTTTCCTCGCGAGAGTTCACATTAGTCAAATTTGTGATGCATTTTGGAACATTTCTTAAGTCGATAAGAAGGATACGCGAACCCACATTCGACACTTTATCATTACGGTAGAATACCGATTGTTCAAAATATTCAACACGATGATGTATCTTGAATTTTCTAAAAAAAATATTACTATTTACAGTACGCCCGTTCCCATTCACTCGAAGGCTATGCCACACAGTTCATCGCATGCTGTTTTTAAAATAGTTTTTGTTTTTGTTTTTGTTATTTTGAGAGGGAGAGCTCAGATGATTCCAACTTGCTATTTTAAGCAATTGCATTCCTTCATTCTCCTTGTATAAGTTGCATAGCAGTATGTATGAATCTAGGATAAAGACAACATAAATCGTATTTGTGACAATAGAGGGCGCAATTTGAACGCACAGTGATTCCTGGATTGTCACTGTTAGAAAGTAACGAAATATAAAAGTCGAAATATATACAGCGTACAAGCTGTAATTTTATAACTACTAAACAGCTTGTATAAGTCTTACAGTCAACAATTGGTCTGCTAAGTATCTCGTATCATTAAATCAAATAGTATGTTTTGTTCACGAAATTAGAGGTGTAAAATCTGTTTTTTGAAAAATTATTATCACTATTTCGCTCAGGCATTGAATAAGTGAAAATACAATCCACTGATCAAAAATCAGTGAAAATCTATACAGCCAAAACACCTTTTTGGCCAAAAAGTATTCCAGCTAAAATAAAGTATTTTACAATAACTATCAGTGTAAGAAGAAGTAAGAAGAATTCCCGATGCTATGGAAACAGTAGTACTTTCCATTCAAGATGCTCTAAGCTGAACAGAAACGTTTAATATATTTGAAACAAAAATAATGTGGCCAGTTTAAAAATTGGGTTTTTCATAACCCCAACAACAAATAAACTGAAGTTCTAGTTTAAATAAATACAACAAAATGTTACTAAAATTTGAATTGGTAAACCTGTGCAGTAATTCTTTTTAGAAATCAGTTTAACAATTTCACTTATAGACAGTGTTAATTCAGTGAAATTCAGATGGTTTTTGGCGACTGAATGACATTATCTATGCTTTCAAAGTTTCATATAAATATTTTCGATGTTGAACACATAATTTGTTAGAGTTTTTATGCAATTACATCCCTTTTTTATAATATTGTTCATAATTTTTGCAAACCATTAATCTCTATAATGGGCCTGTTATCACATCTACGTATTACATTCAAATATTGAAGTTGTGTGGTTCCCAATGAATGAGGGCGCATTTTAAATTTCCCGATTTGGTCGTGTGTTTCAGTCTTTTGTCTTTCCCGCTGACCGGAATCATGGCTTGCTTACTGTACACAACAGCGAGTGCAGATGTCCTTTAGTATACAGTTAAGCCTTGTGGCGGTTGTGTCACGATTGCAACGTAAACTTGTTGAAATAATTCCATGAATCTACTGCATACGGAATAACGTGTGTTTGTCTTGACAGTAGCCTAACTATCCGTCTACCTACGTATCCAAAACAGTACAAATGATCACTTCGTCACGATATCTTTACAGAGTATTAGATTATATCGGATTATCCATAAAATCACTGACACTCGATTTCAGAAGTCCACCAAAATCTAGACTGTAAAGTTCAATGTTAGTATATCATGAAATCAAGCATGTTGATATCAATATGGGGACACTGTTAATAATTGCCATGTGTAATGTGTGTTTATTTCACAACACGAGTATGTCACATGTTAGTGACGTCCTGTGTACCCTTATGAGCATGCGCGCACAAAGCACTACCTCCATGTTTCAACTGTAATCCGATATCAGCGCTCATGTAAGTTAATCGCTACATGATGTCATATTTCTGATTAACTAATGAGTATATACGTACTATGTATTCTATTACATGAATTGACATGTATACTACAGCGGTTACTATCAAAATGACCGAACACAGCACAGTGGTGTTTGAACATCCGGGTTTATGTTTATTTAACTGCTGAGTCGTCTTACAAAAACATCTTCACATTTATGATATATTGTGGACCAAGAGTAATAGATGTATGTTTTAGTGACACTACATATCCGGGTATTAATCCGCCGAGGTGTGTACATATTCGAAAATATACGCAGACTGCGACATTGCACATTTAGATGCAGTTGGTTGTCGTGAGTTTTGTGGTTAACCATTTACCGAATATACTATGTTGCATATAAACAGAATGTAGTTCAAAGTTCAATTTAGCCACGCCATCTATTAATATAGTGACCCCCGTAATCTCATATATGTGTGTGTGTCTGCTTTGTCAGTTTTTGTTCAAATTTTTCACATACATTATACATGTTAAGCTACATGTTTATGACGATTCGTTTTGTCATCGGATCAAAGATGGCCGACTGGCAGCCATTTTGTTTTTTGAAATATGATATCTTATGCATGCTTTGTCGGTTATTGTTCAAATTTGATACATACATTGTACATGTTGGATTACATGTCATGACAATTTGTTTTACAATCAGACCAAAGATGGCTTTTTCTTGCTTTTTGATCATACTACTATATCTTCAAGCTTAGGGGCCATTTTCATTCATATTTGGCACATACGTCATACATATTGGAATACATGTCCTTGTCAGTTTGTTTAATTATCAGATCAAACAAGGCCATCTTGACCATACTAATATATCTCCAAGGCTTATGGACCATTTCCAATTATGTTTCGCACATACATCATACATATTAGGATACATGTCCATGTCAGTTTGTTTAATAATCATATCAAACACAGCCGACTGGCGGTCATGTTGCTTTTTGACCATATTAGTATATCTCCATGGCTTATGGACCATTTTTATTCATATTTGGCACATACATCATACATATGGGAATACATGTCAATTTGTTTCATATTCAGATCAAAGATGGCAGGGCAGACTGGCATCCATCTTGTTTTTGTTTTTAAATATGATATCTTGGACAACATTTGTCGGTTTTCACATTTGATACAAACAGTGTACATGATACATGTCCATGATGATTCATTTCGTGTTTCGTGTCTCTGTACACGAGCCTGGACAAATGAAATTCAGTTTGGATACAAAAAAATCATGAATGGCATATCCTGTTTAATTTCTGACCATATATTATGATTTCATTTAATACATCTATTTTCTATTCATACTAGACCAGCCAATTATTCGCCCTAAAATATTAACTATGCTTTTGGTGCATATTATTTTCGCTTTGGAACAAATAACATTTTCCCCTATTCCAAAGGCGACTATATCATTAACAATGACTTGTTTACTTTTATTTTAAGATTTTGAACGTAAAAATGGCAGTCCACAACGTATTAACATACCCACCCCATGATCCAATGGAGCGTTCATTGTGGTGCCAACAGCAGCTAGCAGAACGCCGTAGGTGTATCTTATCAAATCAACATATAACAATAGTCAATAAAATAAAGCAATCTGTACGAAGACGACGACGATACCCGGCAAACAACGCACAAATCCATGATACACAACGTGGAAACATTAGGAAAAAAATTATCATCAAAAAATCAAAAGTTGAAATGAATACATCTAAAAGGTAATGAACTATTAACGATTACTTGCCTGCGTTTTTGCGCACGTGTATGTGTGTGTGTGAGGGGGGGGGAGTGTTTTGAGAAGAGCATTTCAGTTGGAAATTCATTTTATATTTTTTTTCAGGCCAGATAAAATACAAGTGTTTCTCTATTCCGACTTCAGTGGACCCATACGTTTCGTAGGAATGAAGACTGACCAAGTTTCTAGCATTATTAAGTTTATATCCATGACATTTAACCTGCCAGCATCAAAAATACGATTAGCAACGGGAACAAACTTCCAGGTAATCATTTCAACATTTCTCATGTAGTGAAATACCTAATGTTCTATTCACGTCATGTTGTAATATGTGTCGCCAAGGAATTCTGCATTGCTCAATAGTTGATGGATAAAATGTACAAATTCTTTATGTCAATAATATCATCGAACCGTATCGTGTTCTATTCATGACTTCAACGCGTATAAATTCATTGTTTCATACATGGGCCAACTGTGCAAAAATCATGGCACATTAATTTGACATAAATTACACGAGTATTAAGATAACAGTTTCAATAATTAATCAAATACATCAAAGTAAATCACCATATAGCTTATAGCATTCTCCAACATAAGTTTTCCATACTGTTTTCCAAACAGCTATGCGAAGTACTTTCGTTGGACGATCACGGTATTGACGCTGATACGAATATATACGTGACAATCGAAGAGAGCGGCTTGAAGGGGGGAGCTGACAGTGAAGGTATGTATCTGTTGAAACATCATATATAAATAATATGAGAAAACCATACTCGAATGTCGGTATGTGTAATATATGAGAAAATAGCCCGCCTCCCGATGAAGTAGTGCAGTGTGATTATTCTGTTTATTGCAATGAAAGAGAACTCAACATATGACGTAATCTGAACTAATAATTTGTTTGTTTAATCAAGATTTAAACTTTTATTCTACCTTTTAAATTGTAATATTCATCAGCCGCCGTTTGTTAAACTCACTTTTTCTTTTAAAAATTAAGCAAGCTGCTCCATGGAAAAAAGGTGCACTTGACTATCTACATTACGGAAAGGAACGCACTACTTGGTTTTCGCATGTAAAATAACAATTAAATCACATAGTTTTGCCATCATGTAAATTTATTAAAAATGACACATATTTTTTTTATATTTTTAAATGAAAATAGCCAGTCATTCCAAATTTGGTCTGCTCGTTCTATCACAACTGTTCAATTACACATATTGTATTTTACAAACAATTTAAACGTTTACAAACATACAATGACTGTCAACCCTAATAGCATAGTGAATGTTAAGACATTGAATGATCTTGTTGGCATGTAGAGGCCAATGCTAGTTTATCGAATAATTCAAATTAGCCACTGACACTAAGTTAAAATTAAAATATTTGATTAATTAGAAATGAAAAATCATTTATCCAAATGTTCTCAGACCGTGTAATTTATTTATTTATTTTTTCGTATGAAGTATGATTGTAATATTGTTAGAACTATGCTGTCTCTAAGGCTGTTTGTCTTTGGATTGATTTATTGGCGATTTTAATTTGTTTGTTGTTATTGCTGGTTTTGGTTGGCATTCCAAATGATTAAATGTTGTGTATTGACAGTTAAAGATAATTGAATCAGTATGATAATTAATTAGATTAATACTATGTATGGAAAAATCACCTAGCTGCACGCTCAAATACGTTCATCATTCTCCGTATGAAACATTACCTTTTTCGTGAATTATTTCCCTATGTTATTATAATGCATTGCAGTCAATCAAATTTCTTATTATTTATCTATACATTAAAACAGGTAGTCGCTAAAGTGATACTTCTGCATACATGATTTCTAGTTTAGTATTTCTTCTGGAAATGACTCATTGTACTTATGCGTTATTGCGGTACATGTAATGTACACATGCATGACTATAAACAAAATATGTATAAATGAAATGTAACTATAAAATTCATGTCACATCATTTAATGATTTTCTACTGTATGTGTATATGAACAGTTTCTGGTAGATTCAAATTCTTTTCTTATTTGATACATAAATCACTGTATATACTCTTTTAGATTAGGTGTAATGAGACTTAGTAGTGTAGTGATGAATTGATAACAGATATTGCTTTTCACCATATTGTTATCATTAGATGCAATCAAGAAAAAAACTGATGAGAGTAAAGGCGATGATGATGCTTCAAATGATAATATACACAGATGGAGAAAAGAAGATGTACGACATTGGCTTATCAATACAGTAAGAATGCAAAGCAAATACGCAAACATGTTTTATGAAGAAGAAGTTGACGGAGAAACTCTTATAACATACAAGGAGAAGGATCTACTAGAAGATTTTAAAATCAAAGACGGTCCATTAACAAAACTGTTGGGATATAGGGACAACTTGCAGATAAAAGTACCACCAATTACATTCCAAGACTTGCCTGCTAATCTTGAAGAATGGACACCCAACCACGTTGAGTTATGGGCCAAATCAATTAATTTAGATGATAAGTACATTCAGGTTTTCAAAGATGAAGAATATGACGGAGATGCTTTGAGATTTCTAACACCAGAAAAAATCCAACGAATTTTTAGTATGCGAAAGGGCCCCATGAGAAAACTGTTGTATCGTATCTATGCAATAGCCGACACATTGGTAGATGGCAGAAAACAACTGACTTCTGAATCACAAATGGGTTATTCAACGAGTGCGATGTCACAAGGCCCGAGAAAATTTCCACATACATCTAGCGACAAAGATACAAAGTCAGCAATAAACAAGGCTCAACCGCAAACTTTCAATGACGTAAAAACAAAAGAAAAACAATTTACGTATGCTGAGAAACACCATGATCCTGATGTCCTTCAGTGTATTGAGCTACTAAATCGTCAATTGGAACTCGACTTATACAAGAAAGCAGATGTTTCAGAGTATTACCCATGTACACTGCAACTGATTTCTGGAGTGTTCGGCAAAGCTGCTAACTTGCTTGAAAGGCAGTTCTGTTTTCTCACGCTCAAAAAGGGTCAAAAAGAATTGACGTCACAGGAAACAGATTTATTATGGAAACAAATTCAACTTAATGTAAAACAATTTATACGTTTGTTACCAGCCAACAAACAAGTTATATTCGATGTAAATATTGAAACTAAAGGGGAAGGCGTGGCACGTGCGTCGGATAAACAACAGTTTCTACTGCGAGATAAAGGATTGGCTGCTTGCCCCATGTTGCGAAAGAATCTAAAATCAATAACAATGCACACACAACTGGTATTACTCGTTGATTCAAAAATGTTGACCCCTACCACCTTGAGGTATGGAACATATTTAGATATAAAGAATGATGATGTAGTATTTTTTAACTTCGATGAAAACAAACGTTATGCAACTTCATTTGATTGTACAAAAAATATGACTATCACATTCCCCCAAAGACGCACTAGAGCTGCTAAAATAGAGGAACAGAGAATGTCTGATAAAATATGTGTTGGATCTCTACAATCGTCTCTGAAACACTTACCCGATAGATCTAGTCCTGGGAACATGGTGAAGGAAGACCTTTTTACTATGAAATCTCAAACACAGGAAACCGAAACACGCGTGGCAAAAGAAGGTCTAGACACGCAAGATATAAATAGCACCCAATCACACCAAGTCAAAGCTAGCTTGATGCAAAAACCTAGACTGTTTGACAGAGAGGTGGAAAATTGTTCGTATACAAAAGGGTGGATATTGGACATCATTGAGACTGGAGTAATTGATATATTACAACCAGTTCACGAATACAAACAGTTTACCAGTTATGCTAGAAGTAATCCTAAAGAAAGAATTTGGAAATTCGTGACAGAAACGATACGTTTTGCAGCTGCTTGTTTGAATGATAGAACAAACGGGACAATTCATTTTGGAATAGCAGATAGCAAACATGGATATGCTCAACACGGCCAAATATACGGTATTGAAGTTTTGGATAAACCAGAATATGAGGAAGGTTTGGACCAGTTCATTGGCAAATGTTTCCAAAAAAATGAAAATATAGAATGTGCCAGAAAGTGCATCAGACCTCCACGTTATGTACCAGTATCTGCTCCTGGAATAACACGTTCCAAGTATGTCATAGAAGTGGACATTGTACCACACAGTACAATATGCAAAAACAAAGCATTCTTTGTTCGACTTCCAGCAAACCCTGAAAAACAAAGGCTTCAAAACATTTCAAAAACAAAAGAAACTTTGTTTAGACGCATCGGTTCAACCTCATCATGTGTAGAAGGACAGGAACTTCATACATTCTTAGAAACACACTTGCATGTATTGGTTAAACAAAGAAAAGAAGCGGAGCAATCTACCTTAATCAATGTACAGAATATCTCAATGCGACGAGATAGGTTAGCACGAAAGCTGCAATGGCTTTTATGTACTGGAGGAACAACACTTGACTCATCATTTTATCCTATTCTGGTTTTGAACAAGCCACACTCTTATGTTGATATGGAATCAGAACTTAGATTTGTTAATGAAATCAACTGGATAGCTGTATTTGACTTTGATCCAGAATCACAGTTAAAGGGGATATGCGCATTTCATTCCCAGAACAGAGTTTCTAATATTCAAGACCCTGACATGTATCTCAACATCACTGATGTGTGTGCAAGGCGAGATGAAATTGGATTTCCTGAGAAAACTTGTTGGGTATTTTGTAATGGACGAACAGCGATAGACGAACGACCTTTCACCAATAAATTAGAATGGAATGTTGGCAGAAGCAAGGGAGTGAAAGAAGCAATTCGATTTTTCGCGAATGAAGATGTAATACCGAAAGGCCGTGCAATTGTTGTCTTTCTTATACTTTCTCAACAATATGAAATCATGGTTGAAACATTTGGTGAGTTTTCAACCTATTTCACTTCTGAAAGGCTGATGTGTATTGCTGACGACGATTCAATATGTCATGGCTGGGCCCGTGAAATAACAGAACGGTTTTGTTCTATGGAACTTCTACAAGAAAGAAGTGTAATAGGTATGCCATGGAGCCATGTCAATGCAACTATACTTCGAATGAAAGGCATTACCGACAACGACTCCAGTAGCATTCCATGTTCAACAGGAGCTCAGGTGGTTCTCAAAAAACGTGACAGGGAACTTCTGAATGATATTGAAGTCTTGAGCAGTAATCAATGTGAGAACCAAACTAATACCATGTCTCGAGAAGAATTCAAAGAGTTCCAAAGAGAAAAAGAGCTTAAATTTTATCAAGGACACCAGGTAGATTGGTGGAATTTCTGGGCAACAGATAACCATTACAACCATGTATTAATACGTGATAGGCATTATGATCTTCGAAAATATGTTCAAGATGCTCTATCTCCGGATATTTCTACTGAAGTAGAAAGAATTGTTACAATATCACTTTTTCATCAACCAGGCGCGGGTGGAACAACAATGGCTCGCAACGTACTATGGGAGTTAAGAAAACAATACAGATGTGCTGTTGTCTGTAGAGTAACTGCTAACACAGCTAACCAGTTGATTAGGTTGTGGACATACAAAGAGATTGGATTTAAGTTATGTACACCTATTGTGGTTGTTGTCGAAGAATTAGATGAAGCAGTCTTCAGGGAATTATTGATACAGATAGATGATGTCTGTACAAAAAAGGGGATCATTAATATTAGAAGACCTGTGTGTGTTATGATTCATTGTAAGCGTTATATTTACAATGATCCGACTGTAAAAAGACAAATGCAGCTGGACAGTGTAACATTGAAACATGAACTAACTGAAAATGAGCGCACTTGGTTTGTAAACAAACTTGAGCAATTAGAAACAAATTACACTAGTTTAGATGAAATTGAATCAAAACATCTCATCTCATTCATGATACTCAAAGAAAATTTCAACAAGAATTATGTTGAAAAAATGGTAAAAGGAATCCTTGCTGAAATCCCTGAAGGCTATGAAGCCCAACTGTTGAAATATGTGGCTTTATTAAACACATATGTGATTGACTCTTCAATTGCTGTTGCATGCTGTGACTCATTGATGGGTATTGGGTTCTACAGATTGAAAAAGAAAGAAAACCAGCATTCTGAGTTTCTGTTGAGCCCTCCAATGAAACTTTTACTTCTTGAAATGCAAAAGATTTCAATTGGAAGCGTAAAAGCATACAAGATTGTCCATCCTCTTGTGGCTAATGAAATTTTGAAGCAATTACAAACCAGGGATAATCAAGGTCTGGGTGATGCAACTTTAGAATTTCTGAGGTCTAAGCTGTTTCAAACAAATTCACATGCCAAAGAAGATCTGCGGCACATGACCACAGAAATGTTGAAACGGCGAAAAAAGTTTGAATATGGAGATGATTATGAAACTAAATTCTCACCACTTATAATGGATGTTCTTGAAGTTGATGGCCCAGAGAAAGCAACTCAAGTACTACTTGTAGCCATGGATTTATTCAAGGAAGACACGATGGTAATTCAACAGGTTGCTCGCATGTACCTTTATAGGAAGGAATTTGAAGATGCTAAACAGTTTGCTGAAAAGGCCCTAAGCATAAAACCAGGAAATTCATTTTTACTTGATACACTTGGTGAAGTATACAAAGAACAAATGAGTAGTGATTACCTTCATGTGAAAGTAAGTCAAAAGAAAATGAAAGCTGAAGAAATGAAACGTGCTTTGAAACTAGCATTCAGTGCCATGGATATATTTCACCGAAGTCAAGTAGCAAGTACCAAGGAGAGATTTCATTACAATATTGCTGGCTATAAAAAAGAAATTGAAACATGCTTTCGACTACTTGAAATACTTCTGTGTGTTGAAGGTTTTCATAAGTCACAAACAGGGATAGAAGCACTTCATAGATATCTCGTTGAAACTGACTTCACACCAGTCACTATTCGTGATCCATGGACGGACTTTCACAGCAAACTTAAAGGTCTTTCCTATAATGTTGATCTCGCCATACAATGGATAACTGACTATTGTACATATTACAAAGAAGAACACTTTTATGACTATGCTTCCATCCAGAAACTAAAAGGTAACTTGTATGATTACAATAGTAAATATAGCTTTTATTTTGGTGAGAGAAGACCTGAACCACCTTCTACTATGCAGGATGTGGAAAGTGTTAACGAATGGAGACGAAGACGCGTGTCAACTCTTGGGTGCAGTAACTTTAGAAATGTGTTTTATTTGATACAGAAGATTAAAAAAAAACCTGACATCAAAGGAGAAATAATAGCCACGCTTAGAGAATGCAGAAAACTACTGCTAATGAATGAACCCAAAACAACATTTGATCTACTCTGTCTCATATCACTCAATCTTGCTTTGAGTTCCGTTGATGCTACCCAAACTGGCGTTTCATCCTTGAACACCATTTTGGAATATTCACAGCAATATCTACAGATGAACAAGAAAGGTCAACTTTATCCATACTTTTTTCTATCAATGATTCTGTGGCCCCGGGCTGATATGGGCGTTCCGTATGATGAACAAACATTTCAACTCAGTCTACGTGATCTTAAGGATCAATATTCAGCAAAAGAGAAACAACGCAGAGAACCAATGCATAAAGCAAGAATACCGATAACACAGCACAGAATCAGACCAACAACATTTTTCTTTCTCGGGCGCGAAAAAGGACTGCGTTCATTTGTTCACATCAGTGACCTTCTTGCTAGTGGAACTAGTAATCTTGAAATGAAAGGAGACAAATTCTGGGAATCGAAGAAAGTGACAACACGTTTACAACGCTTAAAAGGAATGATGTGGTCATCATATATTATTCGTGCAAACAATGTTCTAAATGAAAATAAGGCGACAATTGAAATACATCCATGCATTCCTTGGGAAAACGTGTCAAGCAGAGAACCAGTGACATTTTACTTGGGATTCAGCTGGGCTGGACCTGTAGCTTATCATATTATAAGCTATGATACTGAAAATTATGAAATCGCACATCACGAGTCATCCGATGCATCTCCTGATGAAGGAACCGGAACGGAGCAGTCTGATGCCAGGAAATATGATTATAACTTGTACAGACAGCGTCATTCTAAGTTGACAAGAGAACTAAAATCTATCCAGGAGGTTAAGCGAAAACGAAATGCTGGAAAACAACTTGAGAAAGCACAGGTACTAGTACATTCCAGCTAAATGTTTAATGTTCAATATGGTATTTGGACGGATGGCAAATGTTATTGCTACTGTTCATAGTTTGAACGAATAAGTGAATTAGTAAATATATTTGTCTTTTTTTATCTGCATAACGCAATCCATCATCACTTTGGATGCACAAAAACCAAAACAAATTTATGTTTGCTGAATCAAATTAAAACTTGTTTTTCCAGATCGAGAAGCTTGAAAAAGAAGAATCGGTCACAGATGAACTTCATAAATTGGAATTTGAATACAAGAATCATATGGAACAAAATCCGGACTATTTTGATGACTATTAATTAGTTGAGTATTTAATTAAGTAAATTTTCGAAGTATGATTTTCAGAATCGTTCTTTGTACAGCATCCTTATTTTAAAAAATACTTACCCTTTTCCCAATTGTGAAGTAAATTGATCATTTTGCATAAATTAAGCAATTTATAGGTGTTACAGATATCTTGAGTACCATCAACTAAGCAACTTTTATTGTACATGTACATAGATACAGTTGAATAATCTACAGATCTGATTACTTGAGGGTTGAAGTCCATTATAATTAATTACCCATCTCGTATAAATGGGTTCATGTGACCACATTAATATGCATACGAGTACTATCTCATGAACTGTAATAATATCAACACGCAAATAGTGCTTATAATTGAGGCATTTGACAAGAGATATGACTAACATATCTAATGTAATATAATCAATCTATTATATAAAATTAATATGCATAGCTATAATGTATTAGGCACTACTGCAGATAATGATATGCAATCACTGCTATATTAATGGCATTTATCAAGATAAACCTAACACACTATATGTGCTTTAGAGAATAAGAGATGAGCTTTTAATAGAGTAAGTACATTATTTCCCATTTGTACTTCGTGCCTCCAATGAATATCTCTTTCTAAACTTTTTTGATTACATTTTTGCTTTAGTGTGCAGAATAATTCTGTGATTGTACCTGTCGAGATGCGTTTTCATCGGTTATTATTTTGTCTTGTAGATCTTACTAAACTTACACTTAGAATGAAGGTATTTACATTTGTGCACATATCAATTGAAACATACATGGCACAATATGTGACACTCGACAATTACAAGCACGATGACAGTAATAGTCTTATTTGTTTGCTTTGTAATTCAATTTAGCTGATAATATACATCCGTTTATTTCTCAAATTCCAAAGATGTTACCCTGATCTACGTAAATAGTCAGAGCGTGGAGTCTTTAAAAGTGTTAATGGAATTGATTCACTTGCCCATTGAACTAATTTGAACTGATTACGCTCACCGGCGTTGCCCCGAGACAGTACACGAACCCAATAAGCTAACTGTTTACGGAACACGTATTCCATTATATAATATATCGTGTTTTTATTAGTGTAACGGGCAGCATTTTTCAGAAGGAATAGACAATAAAAGCTACAAACAGGTTCAAAATTTGAATAATTTCAGACCGCCTACGAGGATTGAATTTGGTATATAGTATATTGTCAGAGTGGGACTCAAATATCTCCATCGATCCTGTTTAGAAAAAACGAGGTGAACGCGTTAAGACAGCTAACACGGAATGCGCATGCGTACACTAAACTTCGACAATTTAATTTAATTCAATTGAATTTTAATTGGCATTTTTATGTATAAATTGAAGGTCTTACAGTTATTGCTTTGAGTTTCGTTCACCTGTTTGGTCATTTTGCTATAGCAGTATTTATGGCGATATTTGAGTGAGCAGCTGACCACCTAATGTAAGGAAACGCCCATTATTATTGCCAGCAATTGTAACATATTGAGCATATTTCGATGTAGATGGGTTAATATGTAGACTGTACGTCTACGGGCGAGTTGTGTAATTTTTCTTTCGCAATACAATACTGTGCGATATCATGTTTACATTCTGAACATTAAAGTTGCATAAGTATCTGTAGAAAACCCCTCACTTGTTCCTATAATTATCACACAAGTTTTACAAGTAGATTTTGTACAATTTATGAGGAATCTGTGCAAAATTCAGATTAATGACAGGTATTATGCAAGTGAATCAACTCGAATTCCTTTCCTGGCAATTGTATTGGTTCAACACGAAATTATGCTTTAGAGTCGATTCGTTGAGTGACACGGAACAGGTACACTGAGTTAAGTACATACATGACTATCGTGTGTTTATAACTGGTGTTCGAATACATGTCTGTCTCTCTGTTCATACATCAATTGACGTAGCACGTGCAGCCTTGCAGGATTCCCAGGCCAATCTACCTGGATTTCAAGCTGGTCACAATGTCGGATTTCCCGTCAAATGACAAACCATGTTGTGTAGTCTAGGATTATAACTCATTTTGAACGGACATACATGTTTTATTTTTATATTGTGTATTGTTTGTTCAGATAACAAGCCGTGCTTTACATATACATTGTTTTAATCAATATATACTTTCAAGAACGTTTTTATCTCAACAATTAAGTGGTTAGTTTTCCTACGAAAGAAATGCTGTTTACTAAAAAAATTAATTCGGGATAGGGAGCACACATTATTAGAATGGTTAGGAATTTAAAATTTGCGCGCGCTACTTTTGAGTTTTGTAAATAACCCCCGATAACATAAATCGCGATGTCACAACCTCGGGGTCACGGTATTACAACAGAGCACAATAATCACATCCAACCAGTCATACAGCAACAGCTACGCGTTTTATTTTTATTTTTGGTTCTACTTCATCGTTTCACCTACAATTGAATAGAGGCAGCCATACTTGTTCCATTGAGGTTAGTATCAACGTTTTTTGTAAAAGTAGTGTTTTGTACATCTTTAAATATATTGTGTTCATAACACGAGTTTCAGTTCCTAGGTGTTTATCTCTGTCACGGTGTGAACGCAGCGGGAGAGAAAACGTATCACATATATAATGCAGTAGTTTAGTGGCAGGACGGCATTGAAATTTCAGGAAAAATTGACCAACACATATTAAAATTCGAGTAAACCTAGACATATGAACCGAGATTAAATATGACGTAGGATGCATTATTTGCTAATCGTTAACTTTAAAACTAATAAAAATAACTAGACGTAGATATGGAACTTCCTTGGCAGTATTAACTTATTTTTATTGCGAGTATCACGCTAGTTGGTTACATTCAAATGTAGATGTTCGTACTTGTCACATTTAGGACGGTGACATTACCGTAATTAATGCTGTTGTTAAAGGCGGGAAATTACATATCACGTGATCTAATGGTTCAATGTTTCCAGCTCGTGTCAGTTTAGTAACAATTCAACGAGATATTCTGTTACTGTTTATAGACGTTCTACTACAGTGTGCTCGCATACCGATAAATCAATTGACGCAGTGAAAAATACTCACTCCATGATGCAATTTCCTTGTCAGAAATTCCACACAAAAAATGGTCAAATCAGTTTCCACTTCATCGGTTAAGGTTTTCAATTTGAGTTTTGTAAACAGCCCCTCATATATATAAATCATGATGTCACGACCACGGTATAACAACATAGCACAGTAATCACATCGAACCAGTCATATAGCAATAGATACGCGCACTGGATTTCAAAAAAGCTCGAGGTATTTTATCTTTGGTACCCTCTCATTCAGGTTAGTATCAGCGTCATAGAGAATGTTTAATGAATGTAATCGAATCCCTCCCGTCCTAGCAATTGCATGTGTTTGACAGGGAATTATTATCCAAAGCTGGTGTGCCAGAGGGATGGAGCACGGTCCGAATCGTTATGTGACACGGAACAGGTGTTCTGAAATATAGTATGTTTAAAACTCGTGCTAAGTGCATATCTGTACATCACTAAATATACATCTATGTACGCGGCGATAAATAGACACTGCAGCTTTGTCAGGAACAGCTGGTCAAATCAATTTCTGCATTTGCATAAGTCCAGTCCGACAGTATTCAGCGGTTAATGTTTAAACAAATGTTTATCTACAAGGAATATGCGTGTATTTTTGTTTTGGCCATTCGTGATAGCAAGACCACTGTATATTAATAATAAAGCATTTAGTCACATATAGAGGCCAAGTTATTACATTTCTCACTCGCATTTCATTTATCACGATTTTTACTTACAGTTTTTCGCAATATTACTGAAAATCGTGATATATATTTTTTTTTATTTCACACTGAAACAATCAAAATCGTGTGTTTACAACTAATGTTGAAAAACATTTCTGTTTCTCTGTACATAGATCAATTGACGTAGAACGTGCAGTCATGCATGATTCCCTGGCCAACATGGATTTCAAGCTGGTCACAATGTCGGTTTTCCCGCCAAATCACAAACCACGTTGTGTAGTCCAAGAAAATATAGGTCATTTTAGACGGAGATACTAGTATATACAATGTTTTATTTTCATATTCTGTAATGCGCAATATTTTGTTCAGACAACAAGCAGTTATCTACATATATACTGATTCAATCATATTTAAGACTTTCAAGAACGTTTTTATCTCAAGAACTAAGTAGTTAGTTTTTCAATGAAAAAAATGCTGTTTACTAAAATCAATTCGTAATAGGGAGCACACATTATTAGAAGGTTAAGAATTTCAAATTTGCGCGCGTTACTTGAGAGTTTTGTAAATAATCCCCGATAGACATAAGTCGTGACGTCACAACATAGGGGTCACGATATTACCACAGAGTACAGTAATGACATCCAACCAGTCACACAGCAACAACTACACGTTTTATTTTTATCTTTGGTTCTACTTCCTTCAAACGTTCATTCTTGCATCTACAATTGAATAGAGGCAGTCATATACGTTTTATAGAGGTTAGTTGCAATGTTTTTGTAAAAGTAACTTGTGTTTCAGTTCATATTTTTTTCATCTCTGTGAACGCAGCAGGAAATAAAACGTATCACATGATGCATTTGATTACGAGTACCACTGCTAACTGGTCACATTCAAAAGTAGTACTTGTCGCATTTCGGTCGGTCACATTACCGTAATTAATGTTGTTGTAAAAGACGGGAAATTCAATGTCACGTGATCCAATGTTTCAACGTTTTCAGCTTGCGTCAGTTTAGTAACAATTAAACGAAATATTCTGCTACTGTTTATAGTTGTTCATCTTAAGTTTGCTCACATACCGAAGAATAAATGGACGCTGTGAAAAATACTCATCTCGTGGCACAATGACCTTGTCAGAAATTCCACAAAAAAAATGGTCAAAATCGGTTTCCACTTTATCGGTTACGATTATCAAATTTGAGTTTTGTAAACAACCGCTGATAGATAAAAATCATGATGTCACACGACCACGGTATAACAACAGAGCACGGTAATCACATCGAAGCAGTCATAGAGCAATAGACACGCGCACTATATTTCACAATAGC